GGGACTTCGTTTTTTTCGTGGGGAAATTATTTCATGGAATGCCCTTAACCCTATCCGTACGTCGTGTTTTACTATCGTATCCCTACGACGTGGGGAACTCTGTGCCATCACTTTCTAAAGAGGAAATTTACTCGTTAATCCGATCCGTACGCTTTGCATAGCAGTCTGTCAACATGGTTTTTTGAGAAATACTGAAAGTTTCAAAGAGATATTCGCACTAGAAGTATTCTAAATTGTGAAGAATACACAAGAATACCGCGGGTACAAAATGACCCCAGGGCGTACGGGTAGGATTAAACTCTTGCTAAAAAAAACTATATGATTATATGTCCCCACGGATAGTAGACACCTTGGATGTGTGTACTACGTAGGCCTACGTAAGCTCCGAATGGTGAAACCAAGATTACTTTTAGCCTTTGGCTTGAGGAATTGAGGACACGCAAGAGAGTGCACGAGAGCCCACTTACCCACTCGGAAATCACTAAGGACGAAGGACACAAAGGCAAGCTGTTGTGTTGACTTGATACTCTTGACAACAAATTGTGGATTGTTGTTCCTTTGAGTGAACGTATCTCTATTGTTCCCCCTTAATCTTTGTAGAAGCATTTGTTCCTTCAGCTAGATAGATGCACCTGTATAAAACCCTGCTTCTGGACACAAGTAATACTTGAAATGCTTGAAACTTGAAACTCCTTCTTCTATTGTGTTAATTTAAAGGTAAATTATTTCGCAGTGTCTATCCGGAGAATTCCCGATGGAGATAGACCAATCAAAATGCTTTGTGCCCTAGACCAAGTAAAAAAAATATGGGGGGTTACAGGGGGCATGTCCCTGTGTTTTAACCCATAATTTGATTTTTTGCAGTTAGGATTGCAATTTTCTTGAAAATAATTGATTTGCTACAGTTCTAGTGGCTATATGTGTGATCTGCAGTTTGACCCCCCAAAAGCAGTGAATCTGTGTGCGGGAGTGCGTCTCCGAATAGTTCCTGGGTGCTCGCCGGAGTCGTCTCCGAATATCTTCTGCTAGCAGCTTAAAAAATTAAGGTCCATTGATCCGAATTGAAAAGGACGAAAGAAGGGAGATGACAGAGACGATACGCTAAAGGTTTTACTGTGAGTCTGGTTTTCTTAACTTGTTTACAAAACAAAATATTTTGGAATCTACTGATTGTGTATTTCAGTGATCATAAACAGGTTCCTCCCTACTATATTTATTTCTCCCCCCCCC